TGTGTTCACCAGGGCGTCGGTCCGCGGTGTTTCCTGCGGTGTCTTTGGCTCCGGGTCAGCGTCGTGCTGGCCTCGGGGAGTTCGGAATCGGTCCCCCGGCAGGGCTTGGGAGCGTCTGAGGACCAGGGCAGCCTCGTTTGGGGGCTCAGTCCCGGGCCTGCCTCGTGGGACCGGTGCTGACCGCCCCGGGCTGCTCGCTCGTCGTGGGTCTGCTCAGACTGTGTGTCGCTGCGTTTCAGTCTCGGTAGGCGTTGCAGGCCAGGTTTCTGACTCTGCCTTCAAGGCCAGGCCACTTCCCCAGCATCTGGGCCCGTCTGCCCTCAGCTGGGTTCTGACACGGACCTTCCCCCAGGCCAAGGCCAACACGGCCCTATGTTTAAAGGTGGGTTTTATAGCCCTTAACATTTTGTTTTGAGTCGGTAAATCCTGTTTCACAGAGTGGAGAGTTCACAGGCTTGTGACCCTGGCCTGTCTTGCTGCCCCCCGCCATCCTCCCGCAGATCTGCAGGAGGCTCATGCTCCCAGTGTGGTGCCGCGCGTGCGTCCTGGCCGCCTCTCATGCCCTCACACACGGGGCTGCTGCAGGTGACACGGGCAGGCCCAGGCGGGACTTGTCCCACGGAGCTTGGTCGCACTGCTTCCGCGTGCTGCTGCTGTCAGCGTGGCCCTTTGTCCCTCAGTGCGGACCGCACAGCTCGGGGGATTCCGGGCAGGGTGGGTGGGCGTCGGCATCTGACGCCCAGGACAGTCTGCCGTCTCCGAGGTCACCGGAAACGCTGTTTCCCCTTGGACACAGGTTTGAGTTGTTCCTTGTCCACTGCAGCGGCCATGCCTCGTGCCACCGGCGCCACTCAGGCTGTGCCTGGGCCTCCGCAGCCTGTGTCCCTCCGTGTCTGCCAGGCCTGGGCTTCCTGCGTCCCTCCTCATCACAGGTGTCCTGCCCTCCAGCCCACTCACTTCCGTGAGGGCTGTGCACCCAGCACCCGAGCCGAGTTGCAGACCAGGGAGGTTTCACATCTGTGTGACTGTCTCTTTGTCTGATCCCTTGTGTGGTCTACGGGGATCTTCACACTTAGATCTTGTACTGGCGTAATTGTTCTTTTTGGATAGAATTAGATAAATAAAAGAGAAGTGTCAGCCGTGGTGACACCCATGGGTGACACCAGTTAACGTCACCCTTTGGATGTGGCCGTGTCGGGGTGCCACGTGACCGTGCGTGCGCGTGCAGTGGTCAGCAGCCCTCCCTCTGCTTGCCCCGGTCGTCTGTGACGCTGTTCACTGACACCTCTTCAGGCTTCTCGGGGTGGCTGAGCCCTGTCCCCACCCAGTCCCCACCGACGGGCACTTAAGGCCTCTTCTCTGCTGCCAGGCACTACAGCGACCCCCTAGGCGGTCCTCGGGGAGACCGCCGTGGGGCGCAGGTGGGCGGGGCGCAGCCGTGGTGGGCGGGGCCGCCATGGGCTCCCGAGCCGCTGCCCTGACTCGCCTTTGCTTCCAGGGAACCTTCTGAGCAGCCTCATGGGCTCCTCGGAGCAGGAGGGCGAGGACAGTCAGGACGACAGCAGCCCCATCGAGCTGGACTGATGCCGCCGCCACGGCCACCTGCGCCAGGAGGCCCCGCCCAGTGGGTGCGGCTTCGTGCACGAGCCTGGACGCGCTCCGGGGACCTGCGGCAGTGTGCGCATGCGCGCTGGCTGGGCTGCGGGGCCCGCCACGCAGGGCGCCTCGGGTTGACCCACAATAAAGCACAGGCTGCGCGCCACCACCCGTTCCCAGTCCTCTGTTTCTGGTTTGCTTTGGGAGGGCCGCGGCTGGCACAGGCGCCCGGTGCACGTGGACGTCCTGCGGTGGCCTGGCCCCCTGTGTCCTGGAGAGCGCCCTGGTTCCTCTCCGTGCCAAACCCCGGGAGCCACGGCCCGCCACCGAGCGCAGGGCCGCCGCAGCGGCCTCCTGCAAAGGGAAGCGGCGGGGCTTCTCACCTCTGAGATGCAATATTTATTTCCCTGGGTGGCAACTCCTTCGACCTGACGTTTTAGGTTTTATCCAAATGAGCAGCCCAGGAACGAGCAAGTGTGTTCTTTCTCACTGATGCTGCATCAGCTGTTCCCAGGGCCGTTACAGAGGGGGACGCTTTATTTTTTCACAATTAAAGTAAGAGTTGTAGATTGGTACACAGCAATCATGCATGAGGAGGGGCGAAGTATATGGTTCTATTTACTGTAAAAACGGAATTTGAAGGTTTGTGTTAATTGTTGCGTTTAAATAAATCCTTTATACTGGGCTTTACGGCGCTGGTCCTTTCTGAGTGAGCTGGGGCCGGGCTGCCGGCTGGGGTGTCAGAGCAGGCTGCTGAGCCCCAGGTGGGGACCTGGGCAGTGGACACCACCTGGGGCCAGTGTTGGCCGAGACTCGCTTCTTTTGTATCTGGAGAAACCAGATGTGCTACAGGCTAAGGCTGCAGGGGGTGCTGCACTGAGCCCCCAGTAGCGAGGGGCCGGTGGGGACTGCACTGAGCCCCCTAATAGTGGGGGGCTGGTGGGGACTGCGCTGGCCCGTGCATGCTTGGAGTCTCCCACACACCAAGAGGTTGTCTGGGAGGGAGGTGTTGGATGGGGGCCTTGAGGAAGGGTGAGGTGGGGCCCTGAACCCCTGATGGATACCCGCTAGTCCTGCTTGTTTTGAAACCATAGTGGCACCCACACAGCTGACGTGCTCGTGGGCAGGTGGGGCAGGGTGTACGCCGATGCCCGCTTCGCCTGGGCCGGCACTAGACGCGTGCGGAAGCAGCCTGCCGGACAGCTGTGCGGGACGCATGTGGCATACCCGCACACACCTGGTGTCACACCCCCTCGACGCAGGTGATCCCCCCACGTGTCGGCTCCTAGCAGATCGCGGCGCTCACAGCTGTCAGCCCGAGCACGCAGGAGCCACACGGGCAGCTCGGGCGGGGAGAGGGCCTGCGTAGCATCACTGTTCTCCAAGAACACGGAGCGGGGCGTGCTGTCCGTGTCCCCGTGTTTTCCTCAGCCTGGGGCAGGCTCGCCGAGGTCGGTCAGCGTGACGGGGTGGCCGCCTGTGCTGACCGCGTGGCCCACCGTCGCCACCCGACGATCAGGACTGGGAGCAGCCCCTGCGTGCAGGTGTGCAGCCAGCAGTGACCGTGTGAGACCCCCCCAGGTGTGCAGCCAGCAGTGTGACCATGTGTGTGAGACCCCCCGGGCGTGCAGCCAGCAGTGACCGTGTGAGACACGCCCCTCAGTTTGGGAGACCCCCCATTCGTGACACTGTTGTCTTGCTAGGGCTGTTCCCTGGGTCCCGCACGAGGGCATGCCCGCACTTCCAGGGTCAGGGGGGTCTGGACCCCTGCAGGAGGGCCGTGGAGGGGTCCAAGGCGCCCGGGGTTCGTCTGACCCAGGACGAGTGTTGCTGCTTTGGACCAGAGGCAAAGACGGGGCGGTGACGGTGGACGGCATCCCGCGGGAAGGCACGAGCCGGCTGCCTCCCCTGAGGTGGGCGTGACCCTGCAGCTGTCCTCACCCCCGCCTGGCTGTCTGGGGACCCTGCCCTGGCAGCTTTAGTTCAGCTCAGCAGAGACAGGGCTGAGGGGGGTGCCAGGGCCCCCTGCAAGTAGGGGATCTCATGCTGCCACCTGACTCTGTAGGTGCACCCCCCACCCTCCATGTAGGTTTACGGCAGGGCTCAGCTGGCGGGCAGACACAGAGGGCACATGGGGTCTCAGAGGAAGGGCAGCTTGGGGGGTGGCAGCTGAGCCCCTGACACTAGGCCAAGGCCTTCAGTACCTCCGCTGGGTTTGTGGCTGAGGCCAGTAGGAAGTTCCTTTTGGGGGCCCAGGGCCCCCACCTCAGCCTGCAACATTGATGGACCCCCGCTCAACACCAGGGCTCCCTTTATTCTGGGAAGAGGACACCAGGACGTCCCCCATGGTCCAGGGCTCCCCTGGGGGCTGTGCGTTGGCAGGACGGGGACGAGGCGGGTAACTCCCCTGCTGTGGGCTCCGCAGCTTCCTGGGGAGACGGGACCCCGGTGCAGCCCCCCTCCACTCCCACACACTCTCACAGGGCAGACTCGGGACGTCTCGGTGGCTGGAGCTGCTGCGGGGTGGGTAGCAGCAGGCCGGAGACTGCCACCCTCCAGGATCACAGGCAGCAAGGTCACGCCGGTCAGCACCGAGCCGGGACCCGGCATGGGAGGCCCCCAGGGGAGCAGACGCGAGCAGACCCCCAGGTCCCCTGCCTGAGCCGGGCGTCCAGGGCCGCAAGGCCCGCATGCACACTCCAGGTCAGCCCCTTGAGGACACGGCTGTGTCTTCCACACCAGCCCCAAGACCCCTCGACGAACACACGGCAGATGCTCAATAAATACTTGTTGTGGGGGGGGGCGAGGGCACGAGGAGGTGGGGCAGGCCGGGGAGCATGCAGGGCGCACCGCCCGCCGTCCCCACAGCCCGGCCTGGTTGGGGCGGGGTCCCGCTCAGGGGCGCAGGTGGCAGGGCGGTTAGGGGAGGGCGCTGTGCTGTCCTGAGTGGGGTGGCCAGGCCCCCAGTGGAGTGGTCCAGGAGGCGGAGGGGGCGGGGTCTGGGGTGTCATGGGGCAGCAGCATGATGGGGTCAGAGGTCAGGCTGGGCCAGGCTGGCCCACAGTGCAGTTTCAGAGAAACGAGTCCCAGTGGCCAGAGCTCCAGCCCCACCTGGCCACGTCCGGGCTGCTGCTCAGAGCCGGGCTGGCAGCCACCACCTCCGTCCACAGGCCCCACGTCCTGCCACATCTAGTGCGTCCAGATTCCTCGGGCCTCGGAACCGCCTCCTGCTAGGGCTTGTGCTTGAAGTGGGCTTCCACTAGAAAAAGGACAGGCGTAGCGTCATCACAGCCACGTGGCGCTGGGCGCGGTCCGCTGGCCAGCCCCGCCCGCCCTCACCTGCGTACTCCTGGGGCAGCATGGGCCTGTCCACCACCTGCCGGAAGGTCTCCAGCCACGCGCGCTGCTCCGCCTCCGTCTCGCAAGCCAGCAGGAACCTGCGCTCCGGTGTCACAATGGTGATGCCGTGCGGCCAGCGGTGGCCCTGGGTGGACGGCGGGAGCCTGTCCAGCACCGTGTAGCCGCTCTCCCGGCTGCCGATGAAGACCTCCCCGCGGGCGAAGGCGTCCTGCGGCAGGCACAGGCTGAGCCGAAGGGGCCCCCGCCCTCCCGGCAGCCCCCCACTTGGCCCCAGGGTCCCGGAGCCCCCCTACCAGCGGGTCCTTGAAGTACATGAGCCTCCTGTCGTCCAGGGTGAACCAGCGCTTCCGGAAGCCTTCCGTCTGCTGTGGGACAGTGCGGGAGACTGGCCGGTGGGCCCGAGGCCGCCCCGCCCCGCTGACCACGGCTCCCCAGGGGGCAGGGTGTGCACCCATCCTTAACAGCAGGCCAGGGGGCAGGGGTGCCATGGGCCGTGCCCCGCCACACCCACCTGCACCAGCGCACCCTCCCCGCAGGCTCCAGGCTGCGAGGCCACTTGGGTCCTGGGCTCGGAGTGGCCCTGCGGCCGGGACTGGGCCAAGCAGGGCACAGCACGTGGTGCGGGGGGCCGGGCAGGCCCCAGGCCCCTTGGTGGGTCCTGGCTCAGCGGGACCCCTGCTCTTAGGACGTGATTTGGGCCAGGCCATCCACGCCAGGGTGACCCACCAGAGGCACTCAGAGGCCAGCTGTGGCCTCTCCTGGGAGTGCCGCTGGCACACACGGCCGCCCTGACCCCACCTGGCCCCAGGTGACCGACGCCGACTGCGGACTGAGGCCTGGGGCCAGGCGGCCGATCGGACGTACCTTGGGCCCTGTCTTCTCCATGTAGCCTTCCTTCAGGTAGCTCCTGGTCAGCTTCGGCACCAGCTAGGGCGGGAGACAGGCTCAGGGCCCGGTCCCACCCCGCCCCCTGTCCCCACCCCACCCCC